CCCCAAAACCCCAAAACCCCAAAACCCCAAAACCCCACGATGTTTGAATTCATTGAATCACAAGTTTCAATTGAGAATTATTACTCAATAAAATTAGATTAATCATATTTGAGTGGAATTCTCATCTGAAATATTTTGGCTTCTGAGTTACTTGGTGTGGCCTCAAATTTCTACGTGGGCGAACCCGTGCTTGCTCATGATTCTCTTTACTATCTTCAGCTGCATTCCGCACTGGTTCAACCAGATCTTCTGCAGGCTGGCTCTGAAGTCTTCTTCCTTCGAGAGACCTTCTATCAGGTTTTCGAAGTAGACTTGGTTTTTGACCCAGTTACTGTAGTCCTTTCTTCCTCAAGAGCTCAAATCCAACACTTTGAGAACACTGCCTTTCAACTTGCCTCCGAAGTCAGGAACAGTTGGAAGGTAGAACTTACAATACTGGAATCCGAGTCTTAGCATGTGCTTGCTGGCACAGACAAGCGTCTTTAGCTGAGGCTCACAGACTTCAAAGTTGTAGATGGAATACACTTCACGGACCCAGGCACTTGCTCCTGCCAATGCGTCCACGTAAAAGTCCAGGTCTGAAGACAGAGGAGAAGAGCAGTTGAAGTTAAAGAACTTCAGTTCTACAGGAAAACAATATTTCAGGAAGGTGTTGATCTTCGGATTGTTGGCAGGTACTCCGTTCAGGTCCAGTCTGTTTAGTATAGGCATTCTGCGGTTCAGAATAATCAAGAAATCCATGTGTTTGGGGTTAGTCAATTCGAGCCTCATAGTGGATTCCTCGTTAAATTCATTGGGTTTGGACTGTCTACCGTGAGCATTCTTTGTGGATACAGTGCTCGAGCTTTGTTCAGAGGTAGATTCTATAGCAATGAGTAAGACTGTGTTATACACAACGGAGATTGAGCTATTTTTGATGCTTTGGTTTTACATAATTTGAAGTTTATCAAAGAATTTAAATACTTTGAAGCATAATGCATCAGCATAGTGATATACGATGCTTGAAGAAGTAACAGAATATTTGAAGTCAATAGAGATAGGTACTAAGTATTGTATTTCAATAATTTCTCATATTTGCATTGCCTAAATCTAAACTTATAGCCTAAGTCTAATCTTAACACAAGAAATGGCTCATCTGTTACATTGATTGGATAACAAGGCAGCAAAATTATAGAGCAAAGAACTGCTAAAATAATCAAAGAATACGAACTGAGAGTTGAAGAAAAGCTGAGGCTTGTCTATCGTAATTAACCACTACCTTTGCTGGCTTTACTTTTATGTGTTTGTCTCATTCTAACTTGCTTCAAATTAAGCTTAATGTTCCCAAGAGATAAAGATTTTAGCCATAATAAGGATAAAGGATAAATAGCTACATTGGAAGGCTTAATCTCTTTGGTACAAACCACAGAGCGATTATGGCCAATAGCATATCGAAATGAGCCTATTCTGCTCTATTTAGTATCAGATTCTCTAAACACGATATATAATACCCTTTCACTTTTAATCCTAGCTAGTAACTATCAGGCTTTAAGAGAAATGATAGTATAGTGAGGTCTGATTTTGCTGAAAAATATTGCTCCAATAATGTTGTAGCTCAGCTAAATTTAAGATGCTAGTAAACTGTTATCACAAAGAAATCAAGCACAAAGTGTTATATTCCATGAAGTCTTAATGAGGCTGGAGCTGTCTTTATCAAAACAAGCAAGAAGCTCAATTTCCATAACTTATGATGACTACAGACTTTTAATGTCATTAGGAAACATTCAGATGAGAACATCTTACCTTGGCTTCTTAATTTCAGAATTCTTTTGAGTTCTTCATTCTGTTGTTGCAGCTTCTTGTTCTTTTGATCTTGAGCCTCGATGGCAAGCTTATTCTGTTTCAGTTCTTCCTGAAACGTGTTCTGCTTTTTGGGTACTAGCCCACTAAACCAAGCTGGGGTCTCTGAATCTTGGTCGATTTTCCTGAATAATTTTAGTTAGAGATCGGAACACAATAACCATTAGAGCTATTGTTTCTCTAGAAGCTGAAACCATGCAGTTGAGCTTTATTAAAGAAAGAGATCCCTCGAATGTACCATCCACCTGAAGAATGCATCAATTAAAACACTGGCAATAAAGCATTTGGGAATTCTCTGGTTAAGGCTGATATGTTTGAATGCTCAAAAAGATATTTAAAATTATTCAGATTCATATCCGAGTGAATTATAAAAGAAGCCTTGGAAACTAATTGTAAAGAACTCTGAATCAGAGCATAGTTTAGTTGCTAGAATTGACCTAAGATTGCATCGTTTGGAGTATTTGCTTCCATAATTTAAAGCAATCATTGAAATGCAGTATTGAGAGGAGCAACACTAAGCTATTGGTAGGCTTATTGAGCCAAACTGAAGAAGACAAGGCTATCATATCTCCCCACCAGATGTGAAAGATAGACTTACTCTCGCATGATTTTCCACATGATGTTGCGAGCAAATCTCGAGAAAGTCTCATTGTCATCCATGCCTGCTTGGATATTTCTGGCTTTCTCGATTAGATCCCTAAACTCCGGATAGGACTCTTGTTCATAAGCGTGAATGATGTCATCTCTGAGCTTTTGCACTTGGAGGGTGAACTCTTGTTGGAACTTCAGTGTTATCTCATCAGGCTTATTGTTGCATTCTTTTTGGGTGAAACATGTAAAGAGTCTGAGCATTTGCTCGATAATTCCAACCTTCTTTGCAACAATTTTTGGAGAGACAAGTCTTTCTCCCTCGTTATCGTTATATGTCAGGTCAAAGTGTTTATAACAGTTGTACAGTTTCAACTTCTTCACAAACATTCTTGCAGTTTGATCTCAATTAGCGACAGGACACTTCGGCAAATCTTCCATTTTGTGTTTCAAATAAATTTATAAATATTTAAGCCTGTCTTTAATAGGTTCAGCCTCTGGCATTATCTTGGGGTTTTGGGGTTTTGGGGTTTTGGGG